GTGCCACCTGCTCCTTGTTAACACTGTAAAAAATGCGTAAGGAATTGAGTGCCATAAAACTGTTCGTTGCTCCTACCTGTTTCCAGGGTTACCGATTTATAATGTCGCAGTGAATGCTGCTATTACAAATTTTAAAAAATCCTTTTTTTTTTTTTTTTTTTTTTTTAAATTGCCCCTAATCTAAACATTTCTGTGTTTCTAACTTTCTTGTTTTAGCTATTTTCACTTTCACTTTAATTTTGATGTTCGTTTCTTTATCGTTTATTCAATGATTTCTTCTTCTAAGTTTCTATCATTAATTTCGATCACCTGCTTTATTTGCTTATTGTTTCTTTTTTTTTTCTTTCAATTCTATGCCTAGATTTTTATATTTCTGAATTCATTATATGATCACTGATGCCTCTTTTTGCTCTTTTATTTGCTCAGTATTATTTCTCCTTAAACGCTCACAATTAATTTCTTTCTTTCTATCTTTCTTTCTTTCTTTTTTTCTTTCTTTCTTTCTTTCTTTCTCATTTTCCATTCTTGGTTCATTCGGATTTTCTTTTTCCAGATTTCTCTGTCCTTTCTTTTTCGCATTTTCCTTCCTTTTTGCTTTTTGCTTTTTGCTTTTTGTATTTTCTTTTTTTCGGATTCTTGGATTCTTCTTTCTCTTTCTTTCTTTCTTTCTTTCTTTCTTTCTTTCTTTCTTCGGATTTTCTTTCTTTCTTTCTTCGGATTTTCTTTCAGTAGATTATCTTTCTTTCTTTCTTTCTTTCTTCGGGTTTTCTTTCTTTCTTTCTTCGGATTTTCTTTCAGTAGATTACCTTTCTTTCTTTCTTTCTTTCTTTCTTTCTTTCTTTCTTTTTCTTTCTTCAGGTTTTCTTCTTTTTTCTTTCTTAGTATTTTCCACCCCTTCATTTTTCACTTTTTTTTTCTTTCTTTCTTTCTTTCTTTCTTTCTTTCTTTCTTTCATTCTTTCTTTCTTTCTTTCTTTCTTCGCATTTCCCTTCCTTTATTTTTTCGTTTTTTCTTTCTTCGGATTCCCAGTAATGGATTCCCCATTATTCCTTCGGATTATCTTACTGTCTTTTTCTTTCTTTCTTTCTTTCTTTCTTTCTTTCTCAGCATTTTCCATTCTTGGTTCATTCGGATTTTCTTTTTCCAGATTCTCTGTCCTTTCTTTTTCGCATTTTTCTTCCTTTGCTTTTTGTATTTTCTTTTTTTCGGATTCTTGGATTCTTCTTTCTTTCTCTTTCTTTCTTTCTTTCTTTCTTTCTTTCTTTCTTTCTTCGGATTTTCTTTCAGTAGATTATCTTTCTTTCTTTCTTTCTTTCTTTTTTTTTCTTTCTTTCTTTCTTTCTTTCTTTCTTCGGGTTTTCTTTCTTTCTTTCTTAGTATTTTCCACCCTTCATTTTTTCACTTTTCTTTCTTCGTATTTTCTTTCTTTCTTTCTTTCTTTCTTTCTTTCTTTCTTTCTTTCTTTCTTTCTTCGCATTTCCCTTCCTTTATTTTTTCGTTTTTTCTTTCTTCGGATTCCCAGTAATGGATTTCCCATTATTCCTTCGGATTATCTTACTGTCTTTTTCTTTCTTTCTTTCTTTCTTTCTTTCTTTCTTTCTTTCTTTCTTTCTTTCTTTCTTCGCATTTCCCTTCCTTTATTTTTTCGATTTTTCTTTCTACGGATTCCCAGTAATAACAAAATGTTTACATGTAAAGTATAGGTACATTGAATATAACCTTGGCGATTAAAAATAACGTTTTTGTAAAAAAAAAAAAAAAATTACATATATTTTTCTTAGAGAATTTTATCATTTTAGGACTAGCAACAAAAATAAATATTAGAAAATCATTCAAATGAATAAAATAACACCGTATTCAGAATAAATTTTTATTATGGTTAATATTTGTATGACGGACTAATAGCGATTTTCTAAGCGCTGCTGAGATGTGGCACAGGGCCGGAAGTATGGAACATCCCGTGAGGATTGAACTCACTACTCAGTCGTAATACGGACTAGCGAGACAAGCTTGCTAACCATTACACCACGCCGAAGTGCCGGCATGACGGACTAATATTCGGCAAGTGGAGGAAAAAAAAGTAAAAAGGAAATGTTAAAAACATTTACCATTTAGTATATCCTATATAATATTAAGACAAATATCTCCATTTTCATAATTTGATCACAATCCATCTGATGCTCTTCCCGGCCGTTCAGAGGTTTATGTCTATTCGCTATTCTTCAAGGGTCTTTGGATTGGACGCCTGATATTGAATCCAATTTCTTGGAAAGATGAAAGATTAAAATTCCTTAAATCCCCATCAAACCGAGTGACAGCGTTTCATGGATTGATTTTTACTTTTCATTCCCCAAAAGTAGATCATTTAGTTAGTTCCTGAGTTACTTTGTTAGTTAACACGAACGTTACGCACTTAAATACCACATAACTAATGGACTTTTTCGGCAGTGATCCCGAGAAAAGACGGGAAAGACATATTAAAGACCATGTTTGTTTTCAGCGAGAAAAAGAAAGAAAAGCAGAGGAGAAAGAGAAGAGAATAACGCTTTAATATGCCGAGTCTCTGCTTCCCTATAATATAAAAAAAAAATACTTTAATTTTTTTTATTTGTACCCTCTTACTTCTTTGAATAATGACCTGCATTTATTATTTTCTACTCCAATAGCTTCATGTCTCGCACCTCTCGCCTGTAGAACTCCCTTCCCTATTCCTGTTTCCCTGAGAGCTATAATCTCCAGCTATTCAAATGTAATGTCAATCGACATCTCCAGTTGCCTTGATCTATCCACTACCCTAACCCTTTCTTCTATCACTCCTATCTGATCCTGCTCTAAATTTTCTGTAATCCCTTGCGTCCTAGTAGCTTCCCGCCTTGCTTGGGGTGAAATGCTTAAAAAAAAAAAATTATTGCAATATTTTGTTAAAGTTATTAAACTTAAATATTTAACGAGGCAATGGAATGATCCCCATGTGTATTTTAGTCTTAGGACTCACGGGAAGCTTATTCAATCGTTAATTCGACTATTTTCTAATCGTGGCTTAGATGTGGGACAAGGTTGAAATTTTGGGGCAATCAGTGAGGAAAGAACTCAAAAGACAGTTGTTATCGTTCTAGCGAGATACAATTTTTAGCCATTACACCACGTCGAGGTTTCATTGATTTTCTAGGCGAAGCTTAGATTCTGGTACAAGGACGAAAGTGCGAGGAACCCAGTGAGGATCAAGCTCACTACGCAGTCGTAATTGGTCTAGCAAGCAAGCTTGTAACGATTAAGGAATTATGATTTCTCAGAGAATTAAATAGGAAATCCGTGAATTTTTCACGAACGAGTAATATTCGTACTACAATAATCTTATCAGAAATACAGACAAGCAATGTTCCACCATTTCCTCATTACATATGTACTTCCAGTAGTCGCTATAGGATATTTTGAGTAAAAAGCTTACACAACAACAGGCTACTTTGATATCACCCGGACTATTAGAAGCGATTTCTAGAATTTCTTTATTTGTTAAGGTGGTTTTCACCATGTTATGTCCCTTGAATTCATTCTAGAGGAACTTGAATCGGAACAATAATCAAAACTTACATATTAATATGAATAAAACCAGCTTAATATATTTAAAGAATGTTTAATTTGTCGAACAACATGGGAGATCTTTGCATTATTTACATTATTAGGACTTTTATGCTCATTTTCATTGTCATATTCCCAACATTTCGGCCGTTTTACACTCTGGCCTTCTCCAGGTGACTGGAATTTCGAACCGAGGCCTTTATTTCGTCCAGCGGAGTAGATTCTTCTAGTTCCCCGTGCCATGCCTCTGCTGGATGTCTCAGTTCTTTACTTATAACTAAACTCTCCAAGTTTTTTGTTTCACCACTTCTGTGGCCTAGAATTGAACTCACAACTCTTTGGACGGCCCGTGGAACTAGACCACTCGACCCTGGTGGACGAAATGAAAAAAAATAAAAACGTTGTGAATATGGCAATGAAGATGAGGATAATAGTCCGAATAATTAAAATAATGCAAGTAATCATAATACCTCATCTCAGATATATGGACAGATACAGGAGATTTTTTACATAAAAATGTGTCTAAACTTCTCTTTTTGTGACATTTTCATTGTTTCTAAACATTCTTGCTTAGTTAACCTTTTAAATTATCGCTAAAGAGATTACTCTTATTGGATATTATCTTGCCACAAAAACGGCCGAAGAAGACCTATCTGACAAGCATCTACAAATGGGCTTGTTTTCTTTACCATATCCTTAAAGATATCATAGAAAATGAAACTTAAAGTCTCGGGCTACCGTGTGAATAGACCCGACTGAAAAAGCGTCATTTACCTCTTAAGGAAGGAGACTTTCTTTTCCTATAAATAGGCACTACTTCTTAGAGACTGCGACAGTTTTTTTTTTTCGAATTCCTTTACGTAGATAAAGGGATCATTAGCTGTTAAAATTAATTTTACTGAGAGCAAATATCTATCTAGTGCTAAAACCGACAGCCGACTTGCGTGTACATTTACTTTTGATAGACTTGTATACTTGAATGTTCACAGCACTCATACGATTATTAAGTTCAGTACAATTTCGAGAAAGAAACGTTCCTACTTTTCTTACAAAGATAAGAAGCTGTAAATGTGCGGATGAATGAAAAATATATCATAAATTTATAAAACGTAAAACATTAAATGTTTTTGATTCGTACAATTTTACTTCTCTGTTGGAAGTGACTGCATTTTAATAGTTGCAATATCCTCCATACACAAGTCTGATCTCGTGTGGTTCTGTTATATTTTTCTCTCTCTGCGTTTCTCTCTGTCATTTCTATTCAATCTCTTTTGCTCTTGTTTGTTTTTCTCTGACTGATGATGGTAAAATTGTTGAATAATGTAAGAAGAATGGCAAAAATCCTGAAAGAATTTAAAGCGTTTAATCAATACTTAATGCGAAATTGCTTTAAATCTTTTATGACTTCAACACGGTTTTCAATGTTTTCAAGATTCTTTTCTGGTGTCTTTTGTTTTGTCAAAACTCTTTTCAGTTTTCTTCCTCGCATTCTTCCTTATTTCAGTCCCTTTCTCCCACTAATATATTTCTTTAATTTTCTTTCTTCATTCTCTCTTTCTTTCTTCATTCGCTGTTTCTTTCTCCTTTTCTCTTTTTTGTTTCTTTCTTTCACTGTTTCCCTCTTTCTTTTTCTTTCTTTCTTTTTCCTTTTCTTTCTGTTTCTTTCTCTATTCCTATTTCTCTTTTCGTTTCTTTCTTTCTTCCTTTCTTTCTTTCTTTCTTTTTTCTTCCTTTCTTTGTATTTCTGTCTTTCTTTTTTATCTTTTTCTCTCCCTTTCTCACTTACTTTTTCTTTCTTTCTTTCTTTCTTTCTTTCTTTCTTTCTTTCTTTCTTTCTTTTCATCTTGCGCATTATTTTTTCTTTCTTTCTTTCACTTTCTCTATCTTTTTCCACTTTTCCTTCTTTCTCCATCTTTCTTTCTTTCTTTCTGTTTCTTTTTTCTTTTTCTTTCTTTCTAATTTTTCTTTTTCATTCTTTCTTTCTTTCAGTAATTCTTTCGTTCTCGTTTTATTTCTCTATTTTTCCGACTTTCTTTTTCTTTCTTTTTTTTTCTGTCTTCCTCCTTTACTTTTTCTCTTGCTCATTCTTTTTCCTTTCTTTCTACCTCTTTCTTTTTCTTTCTCTCTTTCTCTTTCTTCCTTTCGTATTTCTTTAATTTTCAAGGTCATCCCATACCAAAAATTTAGCATTGCTGCCATATCGAGGCTTGCTCTATTTTCCAGATTAGACAGTTCCAAAGCCTTTACGCAACCTTGTGGGTGATGCATTATTTTCTATCCTCCAACACCTCTCTCACAAACGCAATGTCGCAAACCCTTTGCTACTCTGTTTCCACGGAAAATATTCTGACGAACTACATTCCTAATTTCACTAGTTCAGATATAGTTAGCTAAGACCTGCAATGTCATATACACAGGAGTGGACCAAAATCATTTCCTTTGTATTACATTAGTATAAAGGAAGTTTCATTTCAGTAAATTCTTACCAGGAATTGTTAATTTATGGTACAGAACCACGACAGTCTGCTTCTCAGATGCTTCTTCAAATTTAATCTCTTCAAGTCAAAGATCAACTTTTTTCCTCTTTCTCTTCCTTTCTCACTTTCTTTTTCTTTCTTGCTTTGTCTTTCTTTTTTTCTTTTCCTCTTGCTCATTCTTTTTTCTTTCTTTCTCTTTCTTTCTCTCTTTCACCTTTTTCTTTTCTTTCTTTCTTTCTTTCTACTTACGCGATCATTTATCTTTCAATACATGACTGACGAGGCAGATTTTTCCTGCAGTAGGTTACCATTTGTTCCTGCAGTAAATCAGTTGCCATCCAAATCTCGAGAACCCGGTCTGTCCTGCTATTTACCAATAGGTGGGGCAAGACAAAGAGGATTCACATCTTTCCCAAGTGTATTAGCACGTAACTGAATGTAATGGACACGACTGGAATTCGAACTCAGCTCTCCGATTCCTCAGACCAATTCAATTCTATTACTCCGCCGGTACCTATTGTATTCATCCGCATACCGTGCTTTTACTTTCCCTTTCCCCTTCCTGTGTCCATAGAACAAACTCGTTTTTAAGCCACAACCTTAAGTATCTCCTCGACCTGGTATTGCGTGAACATTTAGTAAAACAAATAGTGTTCTTCCTTATTTTCTTGTCATTTTCATCTTTAGTTGATTAGCTTGATATATGGAAACTATATGTGGAGATATTCACCTACCGCCCCACGCGGTCGGATGCAGCACAAAGCCAAGTCTATTGTGGGGCATCCGAGCCCGTATTCCCGGTCAACAATTCCTCGTAGACCCCGTAAAAACGGGATCGGGTAGCTGTCTACCTCCCCAAACGAGACTCTGCCCTTCAGCATAGCTTTGTCTGGGTCCCTCTCTGCTCGGAGGCAGAGAGTTTGACAAGCACACGGGGAAGTATGTTCCTCAGTAAATCTCGAAAATAGTTGTGGAGAATCTATATACTCAAGGCAAAAACATCTATACAATTATACAGTTTCTGCAGAACTGGCTCAATTGAGATTGTCTATAATCAAAAGGAAATATATAAAGAGACTAAAAGTTTGGTCGATGACTGCAATTCTATGGATATTCTCACAGGTAAAGTAAGGGAAATAAAACTTAGTAATATCTTGAGGTTTCGACAGATCAAACTAAATTGGAGGAAATTAAATTTAGGCTCTGTAACACAAAAGCCATCACCTAACACAGGGTATATTGGAATTATGCCTAAACTTGTACAAATACCCACGCGTACATAAGTGTGTGTGTAGGGTAATCTAAGGATCTTTAGCAGGTTCAGGCCAACCAGCTTTGAATTCAAAGTTGTTCTTTTCCCAAATAAGATAACAATCAAATTTATAGAGCACGGTCTACGCTTTTATTAAACTATGAGTGCTTTTAAGTAGAAACCTTTAATTATTTTGGAGTGAGTTGAACATTTTAGTTAGTAGGGTTTCGGTATTTCAAAATCTGAGCGGGACAGGTGGATTTCTATGGTAACAAAGAAAATAATACTGTGCTGTTGCGTGACATCTATCCTTCTTTACGTCAGCGAATATTGGACAATTTTCTCAAAAGTGAAAAGGTTCGAAGCGACAGAGGATAATAAAGATAACATGGACCGAACATGTGAGCAAGGATGAGGTCTTACAGTGGTTGCAAACAAGGAGGAGGCTTATACTTAACATAAGGAAGAGACAGCTTGAAAAGCACTAGGAGTAAGGACGAGACGATTTACCTGTCCGCTCGGTCGCAGTGGCCGGTAAATTGTAATCGTTTTTGCGTGAGCTTGAGAATGATTGGTCTCAGTTCTCCGTAAATTGTGTTAAGATTTGCATAGAATATCCTCTGAAGTTCTGGATTTTTCTAAGTAGATTTGTACATGTTCCATCCAGTCTTCTTTCAAGACAAGCAGATGATGTCCAAATTTCTGATCCATACAGCAGGACTGGTTCAACCAATGTTCGAAACGTTTGGACTGTTAAGAAGGATGGGAGGTTTGAAGGACAAATCTTGTGAAGTTTCTTAAACGCATCCCATGCAAGGGGTTTGCTGTTGTTGAAGTCTTTTTGAGAATTATCGAGATACATAGCAAGGGCACTAGACGAAATATGAGAGAAATATTCAACAAACTGGCGAATGTTAGATTTATGAACGTACAAGAAGCATTCTGGCGAGAGGAATTGTCCGGAACCACTCAGTGAACCAAAATCTTTTGCAGCAGACCTAGCAAGTAATTAAAAATAATGACTTCGCTTCATGTCAGTGGCTGTGAACACAATATTAGGATTAAAGTATAAGAATTAGTGGAGCAACTTTTCCGATCAATGGTACGTTATAAAAATTGTTTAAAAGAGACACTATAAATAATTTAGTTCCACTGTATCGATAAATTCATTCAACAGATAAAAAAGCTTTTCTGCGAATGATAACCCAAATCCTCTTGCAACTGCATTAACCAAATAATTTACCCGTTGGATGTAAAATTCTTGGCAACTAATATAGTATATCAAGCAACAGTGAAGGACTCTTGAAATATCGGTCCACGAATAATGTTTTCTTCAATATATAAGATTATACAAGTAAGACCAAATTATATATATATGTATAGATATTCAAAAATCAGTGTATTCCAGGAACCAGTTCGCGGATAAGAACATATGGACCCGGTGCTGTTTTTTGGAAGATGTAAATTGACCCTTCCTAAATTTGGACAACACAAACTTGTTAACAGAAATAGCTGGAATGCTATCGAAATACCTACATGTAAATAAGTATCATTCTGTTTAGTAATTTTTGGGGGCCTATATTTATATATAGAAGTAAGACGGCAAATAAAATTACGTTAATAGTTCAAATCTAAAGAATTTTGAGAACATTCTAAAATATTCGAAATTCTTACGGCGTTAAGGTAAGGAAATCTAAATAGGACGCTAAGTGATTTATATTTTTTGTGTGGCAGATCGAAATACCGATGGTTAGAACGTTTGCATTCTGACCATGAGACCCGGGTTCGAATCTCACAATGGTCGATTTGTCAGGAAGAAGAATTCCTGGTGTTATAGGACTGGAGGGGTCGATCCCAGCTTACGGTACCTTTGGAATGTGAGTGAAATTGGGTAGAAGGAACCCTTGTGGGGACGTCTATAGCTGTGCTAGAAAAATCATTGCGGGCGAAAGCTTGAGCGTGATGGCCTTGTTCAAATTGTTGATCATGCTAGAGAACACGCTCTTTCCCAGAAACTGTGACTAAGGTCTGCTCAGCATAGTTGTAGTATAAACCACTGTTTAAGAGTGTGAGTGTTGAATAAAAACAAATGCGCGTAAGCAAGCGTCTGCAATAGGGATTGGCTAGCCGCCACTGTAGATGGTTTTCCTTGAACACGAGAGGCCAGCTATACATAATAAACGAAGTGAATTTATGTTGTCATTATTATAATAATATTTACGTATTTTTTTAAAAATATTTTTTTTTTATATTATTAAATCATTTTTAAGGCTAGGTGTTTATGGTTATGCATAAATGTGTTGACTTCAGAAAGGTGCATTTCTTTTAAGGGAGCAGATATTCGAAAAATTCGGGCATATTTTATGTTCGGGTAAATTTCAATTACTGCACTTTCAAGAACTTAGTAATATAATAAGGAGGGCATTTTAGAGACAGAAATTCTGTTTGAATTTTTTCTTAAATAATGAACTACATAAATTGTTATATGGGATGTTCTTTGTATGTTCATCAATATGTTTAGTTTTTATTAATTTCTGTAAATTTCAATATTTTGTAAAGAAAGGTTGTTTCAGTTTAACTTTTATATACCTACAAATTTCTATTATTATGGTCGTGTTTTGTTCTGACCACATCTATAATAATCTTGGATTTAGTTTTAAGTATTCTACTATCAAGCCTAGGTTTACTATTTTCAGTAGCAGTTTTTATAGAATTAGCTGGTATTATTACATTTCTCTTTTTAGCCTTTATTATTTGTATAATTAAAGTTATTATAAAGTTCTGTTATTACAGGTTTTGTATGTTTTTCTATTAAGTAATGGGAACTAAATAATAAGAATGATATATACTTTTAAATAATAAGAATGATATATACTTTTAAATGTATATATGTGTATATAATGTATATAACTACTTAAAAATATTGGGTTGCAGAGTATCTCTTTCTCCGTCTGCTTGAACATATATATATATATATATATATATATATATATATATAAAATAATTATAACATAAGTATGTTATAAAATCACTACGAAAATAGCCATTTTGTTTCAACACCCTCGGTGTCTTATCAAGTGATGATGTTGAAGATAAAATTAAAAAAAAAAATTATTTTATCTTTTTTTTTGTAGTGATTTTATAACATACTTATGTTATAATTTTTTAAAAATAATAATTATATCTGCTCTACTTTGTATTGAGCACTCTTTTAAGAATAGTAATTGTTGGTTATTGGAATTCATTCCGTACATACCAATTATAAACTTGTATATATATATATATATATATATATATATATATGTGTGTGTGTGTGTGTGTGTGTGTGTGTTGTGTGTGTGTGTGTGTGTGAGTGTGTGTGAGTGTGTGTGTGTGTGTGTGTGAGAGCGTGAGCGTGTGTGTAACGGAATAGATGTTGCAAGGGATA